TTGCTCTCACTCTCTCTGCTGGCAGATAGGGAAAAGGCATACTGCCTGAAGGTAGGAAAGCAAATAAGGCCTGAATGTACCAGCTGTGAGTTACACGGTGAGTGGTGGTGGAGACCGGGACATGGAGCCACGGGTGGGTAAGAGGGCCATGAGGCGGGAGGGATAAAGGGAGGGGACAGAATGAATGTAATATGATGGCTGTCTGGGAAAGCACGCGGAGGTCAGGACACGCCGAGGCTGCGGCTACACGGGCAGCCTTAAGTCTCTCCCCTTGGGCACGTGCAGAATTGTGGCGTAGTCATGACTGCAGGCCACACGCTGCCTTGGTGACATGGGGGAACTAGGGCACTCTCTGCAACATTACAAAGCTCCGGCCAATTCTTCTCTGGCCGCTGTCCACCTGCTATGCATTTTCCCTTCCGCCAGCAGCAGACAAAAAAGCCAAGTGCCAGGGTCAGCTTTCTCGCCCCTGCTCTCAGTCCTGCTGGCCCCATCTTGCACCTACCCCTCTGCCCATCAGGCCGTTGTTGAAGGGCAGTCCGATGAAGCTGAAAGCTGCCTCTTGGATGAAGTAAGGATTCAGGATGCGGATCTCATGAGGTTCTCTTGGGACGCGGGTTGCCACGGACTTCCAAAACCCATCGGCTGCGCTCTAGGGAACACAAAAACCAACAAGGAAGCACAGCAGTCAGATTAAGACACCTCTTCCCTCGCCTTCTCAGAGCACAGGGAGGACACCAGTTCTCGCTCCCCCTTTCTCTGGTGCACTCACAGCTTGAGGAGATGCCTCCACTGCCAATGGGTGAGACAGCAGATGTAGATGTCCCCAGCAAGTGCGGGAGCTCACTGCAAGCATTTAAATGATGTGTGCAGTTGCCCCAGGCCTGGGACTGTCATTTCAATTTGCCTCTACAAAAGCTTTTGTTCTTCCCCAAACCACTAAGACCAAATCTAAGTCCAGGGCTATTTGAATCAAAGCAGAGCGAGTTTTTGGCTGGCTGCTCTTCATACCGGCCACTGTATTTGGCCACGTGTCTCCCTGGTTCTGGGAATGCAGCCCACCGGTGCTTTTCATTCCTCATGTGGGGAAAAGACTGGCTGCAGAGCCCTATGCTCCATAAAGCCAGCGAAGGGAGGGCCCTGACGGACCTGGAACCTGCACAGTTGACATGTGCACCTAACTTGCATTATGCATCTTCATTTACCGTTGCTTCCCAGTAACGTCTCCATCTAGCAAAGCATGGGGATGTTGGCAAGGTGCGGAAAGATGGACTTGAACAGAGCAGCACAACGCCCCCGTTACAGAGATACTCTGCACACAGACCCCAACCCCATGCTCAGCTATGGCAGACCAGTCTGCCCTGTACAGCCGCAAGTGGAAGAGCGCAGGGGGTGCGGGCACGGGGGAGCTCAGAGCTAGTCACCATTCTCTGCAGAGCAGGTGCTGTGGGGAACGTGCCAGGAATCCCAGATATGGGTGACTGCTCCACTATCCACCTCTCCCAGCACGTGTGGAAAAGGCAAAACCTGGAGGCATCTTCAGTGCTAACCCTGTGAAGCAGGAGAGCTGTTGGGAATGGGTTAGATCCGCTGACTGATGGCCAAAAGGCACCAGCAGATCAGCTACTGAGACCTCCTGCCTGGCCCATGCTAGGGCTTTCCACCATTACTCCACGGCTCAGCCCAGTACCTTGAGTTTGGCTAAGCTCCTTCCAGAAAGACCCCCCTGGCTGGATCTCAGAATACCGAGAGATGGAGAATCTGCTGCTTCCTGGGTGGCTTGTCACTGCTGGGAGCTGCCCTCAGTTAAAAATGTGCCCCATGTTTCCAACCAGAGATCGTCTCCTTTCAGCTTCTGGCCATGGATTCCCACTCAGCCTCTCTGAGAGGCTCCAGAGCTTTTCAGCACCCAGCTGTGGCCCAGCAAAAGGTCGGTCTTCCCTCCACTCAGGCCTCTGGACTGAACGCACAGCCCTTCCCGGGAGCCTGCATGCTGCAATGCCTTCATCGCAGCCCTGATGAGCATCTGACCCCGCAGTCACACGTGGCTCCTGATCGGGTCCTCGTTCCCCTGCATGGCAGCAGGACTGTTCCCTCACCCCAAGGGGAATGTGGAAGGGGACACCCTGCTCCACAGGGTCTGGTCTGGTCCCAGACCTTGAAATGCTGTACAGTTTGCCATGCTGCTCCTCCAGCACAACCACCTCCTTGAACCAGCTCCAAGCTGGGTCTTTTGGAGGCCCTGTCCCCTACCTGAGGGCTCATCCTCTTCTGCCAGCACCCAAGGCCCCTCCAACCTCTGTGGCCCTTCGGAGCAGCCTCCCACGGGGATCTCCTTCTCCCACTGAGACCTGTCCACCCTGCTCTGCAAACCTGGGAGCATCTACACTGGTGGGTCTCAATCCTGTTTGACTCCAGGCCCCCCTGGAAAGGGCCGGCTCACTCAGCTTTTGATTATGGAAAAAATAAAAGAGCAATTCTTCTATGGGAAGGACCTTGGACAGACCACAGCAAGCTGGAATGACACTGGAAATCTCTGGGTTTATCATGTGCAAGTGTTTGCACGCATCACAGTATTAACACTGCATAGTGGTCCATACCCCCTTCAAAGGATGTCCCGGCACCCAGCTGAGAATCACTGCTCTACCTTTCAGCTGTACAGCTTGAAATGACCTCCCCTTCCCCGGGTCGTGGCCTGTCTGGCACCAGAGGGCAATGCTGGAAGCAACCAGGCAATTTTGGCTTAAAAGAGCAGATACTTGGGCTTCACTCCACTTCAATGCTTCCCTGCCCGACTACGCAGCTACATCAGCAGTGCAGCACATCACTGCACAGACCTCTCTGTGATGAGCTAAACACCCTGAAGGCTTCAAGTCTCACCCTGAGGCAGTGTCTCCAGCCCCCGAATGACAGCTGTGGACTGTGCTGTGCCACCTCCAACTTCTCAGCATACTTCAGCCTACGGATGCTGCGCTGGGCCACAGGACTCCACCGCTGCTCTCACCAGTGCTGTATCAGGATGCTTGACCACCTCCCTGCTGCTGCTCCCCTGTTCACATGCCCTAGGAGAGCACTGGCCCTCTGTGCCCCAGCCTTGTCTAAAAAGGTCACACCAAGCAGTGTGTTTGCTGCAACCCCTTGACCCTGCCTAAGATGCAGAGGAACATAAGAACGGCCATTTATAGGTCAGACCTCAGGTGTGTCGTGCCCAATCTCCGGTGTCATGCGGTGGCAGAGAGGAGAGGCTGGAAGGGAGTGTGACTGGGTCTTTCCCCTGCAGTCTCCAGCACTGAAGGTCCAGGCAGTTCTGATGCAGAGATCGTGCCCCTCACTCCCATGCTCAAGAGTGACTGATTCCCCGTTCCTCTAAAAATGTGTCCAAGCCCCTTTTGAATCTGGCTAAACTGTCACTTCCCACTGCACCTGGTGGCAAACAGTCCCACACTAATTACAGGCTGCATGGAAAAGATCTTCCTCTAGTTAGTTTTAAATTTACTGCTTTCTCCTTTCATGTGTGACCCCTTGTTCTTGCATGGTGAGAGAGTCAGTAGTAAATCGTTCTTTACTCTCTTCCCCAGTTAGTATGTTGAAAACCCTTCTCGTTTGCCCCCTGAAGCATCTCTTTTCCAAACTGAACAGGCCTGGCCTCTGTAGTCTCTCCTCACTACTCATCATCCTTGCTTTCCTTCTCTAGTTCTTCTCTATCCCTTTTGAGATGTGGGCACCAGATCCAAGCTGCAGATGCATCACAGATTTGTAAAAGGGCGTCACGATACTTTCTGTTTTGTTCAGACTTCCCTCTTTAACACTTCCTAACATTTGATTTGCCTCTTTTCCAGCTGCTGAGCACTGGGCTGATGTTTTAGTGAACTGTTCACAGTGGTTTGCAGACACAGGCCCCTGTTTGTAGGTGCAGCCTGCAGGCCAGGTCCAGCCATGTAAGCCTCTGCATCTGGAGACATTACAGTGCAGCCTGCCTGAATGGGCCCAGACAGCCAAGGAGTTTGGGCTCCTCTGACTGTCCCGGCCTCAGCATTTCTTATTGTGCCTCCAGCTGCTGGGCCCTCTCTACAAATGTCACCAGTGATGACTCTATGTACGTTCTCCCAATGGCTGATGGATGTGTTAAACAGCGTCCGGTCTGGCCCAACCCCAGCAGAAAGAAATTCTAATTGATCACGATGTGCTGATGATTGTTTCTAAGACCCATCAGTCAGTCAGGTCTTAATCCACTTGCATGTGTTTTGTTGATATTGGATGTGACTAATCTGATAAAACCAGAATGCCACGAGGTGCGAAGTCCAACCCCTCACAACACAGTTATGTGTACTCCCTCCACACCAGCACTGTTACCAGCTAAACGTGTGATCTCGTGAAAGAGCAAATTTAGACTACTACAGACAGCTCCTTCACATGGCTCATTATCATCTCACTAAGGGAATGTCTGTGGTCATGGTGGCCTAACGCTCTCCATTATAATGCGGTTTCCTTGCCCAGCGGGGTGTTCGCACGAAGATTCTCCATGCCGGGACTAGGCTACTGGACACATCTTTTCTTTCAGTTTCAGCAAAAATGATTCTGTCATTTGCTTCCAAGAGCAAGGCCACTGTCTCACACTTTGCCGATCCTTACAACCATTGCAGAGGTCCTGTTTCCACTATCTGTGTAATAATGCCAGAGCTTCAGCCATGAACCAGGGCCCCATTGGGCTGGTGCTGAGAAAACAAAACTCAAAATTAGCTCTAGAGCTTCCATGGCATGAGGCAGAGGATGGGCTTGGGAGCATCCCGGTGGGTCATCTTGGTGCTGGAGACCTGCCTGTGTCTGTCCCTGTGAAAATCCATCTAAATTGCTGGCCTCTGAAAACCACCACTCACAGGGGCTGAGCAGGGTTTTGTGGGAGACCCTGGCCCAGAGCTACACCAGGCAAGCAGAACCTTCCCTGTGGCTGCTGGAAAAGCTACCAAGGAGAATCTTTCCTCTGTCCTCAGTGCTCCTGCTGCCCAGCTGCCAGGAGGAAGATGACAAGTTGGGGGCTGATGTTAATAGAAATACCCTGACTTACATGAAAGAGGACAGCAGTGCAGAGGGGGCAAGGCTAAGAAGAGAAGGTGCTCGTATATGTGACAAAAATTTCCTTTTGTGTGGCTTAATGGCATCAGACTTTACACCTACATGAGTTTTGGGGGTTTTAAATGAGTTTTCACCACCACAAACTAAACCACATCCCAATGTAGTATAGTTTGCAATGTTGCAACTTGGAACGTTGCAGCCATTAATTTGTCAGCTTGCCCCCCGAGGCGCAGGAGAGATGGGCAGGTTCTGCTGAAAAAGAATTGGGCCCCTCACCACTTCTGCCTTCAGCAAGCGCCCGCGGCTGGCAGGATGCCTGGGGCAGTGTGGGGAGGCAGCAGGAGGGTGGCTGGGTTTGCTGGCAGCTGGAGAAGGTGGTGGGGATGTGGGGATGAGGTGCCAGAAGTCCATACAGGCTCAAGGAAGAGTTGGACCAGGTGCCTCCAAGTTGCGGCAGCACTGAGCCCACTAGCAGCCCATGTGGGTGGTCCCAGAGGGTGCCACAACCATGGAGAGGAGGACTGGGGCCCCCCCGCAGCTCAGGGGCCACTTGGCCCTCCAGCAGCTCGCTCCCCAGCT